TGGGTGGGCGTGTCATGGGTGGGCGTGTCATAGGTGGGCGTGTCATGGGTGGGCGTGTCATGGGTGGGCGTGTCATGGGTGGGCGCGTCATGGGTGGGCGTGTCGTAGGTGGGCGTGTCGGATTCGGGCGTGATATTGGTGTCATGAAGCTGACATTTTTTTTTAGGGGATGTGGGGGATCAAGGGAGAGGATCATCGGAGAAATGTGCCGCAGACGATACGGGGGGAAAGTATGTGAGACTGCGCCTGTTCTGTATATTTTGGTTTTGTTTTGTTTGCTGGATGAAAGCTTTTGGCCGATACGTCCGTTTGAGATATTCGGTATCTTCTCAAGTGTTCTCACATTGTGTGTAAGATATAACCCAGCTTTTAAAGGTTAAATGCAGTCTCTGGAGACATTAAAGTTAAATTAAAATGTCCATTAAATACCAACTATTGTATAATTGTTAGATTTAGCCCCCCCCCCCATGGTATACACCGTTAGATTTATAGAAGTGTATATGAAAAAGGGGGGGGGGGCAAAAATATCTAAAAGTGTTATCATGTGGGCTCTTTGTGCGAATTTTATGACAATAAATGTTAAAATTACTTAATATTTAAACATTTGTGTGACAGTTAACAAAATTCAATTTTCTAGATACCTCTTGAAATAGATGTGTAAATGACGTATACAGAGCAAAAGAGACTTGGGCGTATAGATATTGAAATTTTCTTTAAACCAACTGCTGATGTCATGCTAACATGTCGGCATCTGATGCCATACTAAAATTCGGCATCTGACGTCATAATAATATGTCGGCAGCTGATTTCATACTAATATGTCGGCATCTAGCATCATATTTATTGTTTGGCATCTGACGTCACACTAATATGTCGAGATTTGATGTCATACTAATATGTCGGCATCTGATTTCATTCTAATATGGCGGCATCTAATGACATTCTAACTAATATGTCGACATCTGATGTCATTCTAATTAATATGTCGACATCTGATGTCATTCTAATTAATATGTCGACATCTGATGTCATTCCAATACGCTGGCATCTGACGTCATACAAACATGTCGGCATCTGACGTCATACTAATTAGTCGACATCTGATGTCATATTAATATGTCGAGATTTGATGTCATTCTAATATATCGGCATCTGATATCATTCTAATATGGCTCATCTGATGTCATTCTAATATGTCGACATCTGATGTCATTCCAATACGCTGGCATCTGACGTCATACAAACATGTCGGCATCTGACGTCATACTAATCTGTCGGCATCCCCGTTTCAAAGGAAGGGTGGCTGCGTGGTTGGAGGTGGGTCGCTATACTTTAAAGTTAACCCACCTGAGCCAGTATGACTATGTACATATAACGATGTGTTCAACAGTAAAAAAAAAAAATTACAAACATAATTTTTGTAAAACTATGAAAAACATAATTTTTGTAAAACTATGAAAAACATAATTTTTGTAAAACTATGAAAAACATAATTTTTGTAAAACTATGAAAAACATAATTTTTGTAAAACTATGAAAAACATAATTTTTGTAAAACTATGAAAAACATAATTTTTGTAAAACTATGAAAAA